CAGGTGCAGGACCTTGCACTTGGTTCTCAGTACCTGTTGCCAGATAGAGCACATTGTAGTGGTGTCCATCACCCGCATAGACCTCGTGCACCCCAATCTTCTGGTAGCGGTGCTTGTTGTGGAATAAGGGGCTCTTGGTAGGGGAGAGGGGCTCCACCCGATCCTCCACCTCCGGGTGGCTGTCGGCTATCTTGAAGGTCTCGCTCGGGGTGTGCTGTCCGGAGGAAACGCACTGCAGCAAGAGGGGACAAAAGCCACTGTCAGACAGGACCCTGGGATGAGGCTCAAGGGCAGGAGAGCAAGGCAGGGTACAGCCCTGAGGAGCAGGCCCAGGCAGGCACAAGCCTGCCCTGGGGGTACAATACAAGTCCTGGGACTGTCGGGACTGTGCTTGTGCCAGGTCCTACCAGCCATCTCCCCTGCAGAAGTCACAGTTTGGGAGACTCAGGTCCTGTCACCCCACCAGAGGGTCTCCCCTCGCTTTCTATGAAGGATCTGGACCTTATCCAGCGTCCTTTTATTACCAGTAACAAAGCTCAGATACTTCCCACAGTGCCTATAACCTTCCTCGCTGCCCCAGCTCTCACCTGGCTGCTCGGTGGTGGGACAGTCCCCTCACCTGCCCCACCTACTGTGACAACCGCAGTGGCAGAGCAGGGACCAGGTGTCCTGGCCTCAGAATACCTCTCCCCTTCACGTGGGCATCTTTTTACCACTCACTCACCTGCCCGGGCTTGATCTCTGGGATGGGACCATTATAGCCTTTGAGTTTGGATGTCCGAAAGACGTTGTCAATGTCCCCAAAGGAATAGACGCAAACGGCAGAGCTTCCCCTGTGGGCAACAAGACAAAGAGAGGGTCAGGGACGTGGCTGCGTGCATTGTGCCTTCGCTGCCCACTCTGGCTGTTTTCCACCCACATGCCTGGTGGAAAGAGACACAAAAGGCCTGAAAAAAGGGATTTGGTCCATGGGACAGGACATCCCCCTAGTTTTGCAAAGACCCTCACCAGGTGTTTGTGAAGAGCCCATAGACTTTGGAGTGCCGCCAGTTACTCGAAGGGACAAAGAAGACATCTTGCAACCAGTTGAAGTTACCCTTGGTGACCGGGTCAACACAAATCAAGGTGGCTTTCAGGAATGTGGTCCACTTGGAAGCGGAGAGCGAACTGGTTCCCCCTTTATCTTCCTGGGGGAGAGGGAAAGCAGGGAGTCAGACTCTGGCAGAGAAGAACACAAAGTGCCCCTACCCTGTCCAGCATCTCGAATGGATAACTGGGGGATGCTCTGGAGGTATATTTGATGCTGGTCAATGCAACAATCGTGTATCTAACATCTCAGCGAAACAGAGCAAGGTTTTATCTCCCCTACAGTCAAGATGGGGGCCAGAGGACGGGAAGGTCCAAGGATATGGCTGTACCCCACACAAACTCTGGCAGAGGACAGAATTGGGCCAGAGAGGCCAACTCATGTGCCAATAACACCAGGAGAGCTGGCATGTCCTTTTGCCACTCCTGTAACACTCTTGCCTCCCCACCACACACTGTTCCAGTGCTACTTTACATACCTTACACAGCTGGGCCACTCGTGAGATGTTTCTAGGGGCCTCGGGACTCTTGTCCGGGTTGTCTTCACGAAAGAAGTAGTAAATCTTGTCCTGGTGAGGTTCTTCGTGCCTTAATGTGGTGGCTTTGACAAACTGAGGGTCTGAAAAGGGAAGCGAGCCATCAGAAAACCTTGCCCTGAACACACACATTTCGTCAGAAAAGCCACTGGTGGGGACCAAACCAGCACGCTCTGCAGCTAACCACACTCACGGGAAGAGGAGGAAATGCAAATACCCTCTGTGCTCCAGGCGAAGTAGAGGTCTGAACCCACCCCCTACACCTGACCGGTGCGTCACACTAACAACCGCCTTCCCTGTGGGTTCCCCTTCCTCTCCCTCCCAGCCAAATCCACACCCCTCCCCTTCCCTTGAAGGCCAAGTCCTCCGACCCAGTGACGCCTCGGCTGCTTAGCAGCAAAGGAAACCCATTCTCCCTTGCTCAGGGGAGCTGTCATCATACAGGAAGGCTCCTGCAGTGGAAACAAGCTGCACTGTTGTTTGTGTCTGGCATGGAAAACCCAATGATGCTCTTCCTATTAATACAGCACTGCCACAGAGGGTATCCCCAGCAGTGGCAGGGTCCCTCTGAGCATCGTTAGCTGGCGTTCCCCATGGCTGGGAGTTCTCTGTAAGTGTGAGATCAGCCTCACGGCTCTGGGTGTATCAGGTTTGTTTGCTCGTGTCTCAGTTGTCCCCTCTGTTGCCCTGCATGCACAAGTCCTGTTAATCTCCCATTCCTGAGTGTCACTGGGGAGGCAACATAATAAACTCACGGAAACGGGGGAGAGTCCTTTCTCTCTATTCCCATACCTGTCCCGTATCATACAATCACAGAATGGTTTGGGTTGGAAGGGACCTTAAAGATCATCTAGTTCCAACTCCCCTGCCACGGGCAGGGACACCTTCCACTAGACCAGGTTGCTCCAAGCCTCATCCAGCCTGGCCTTGAAGACATCCAGGGATGGGCCATCCACAGCTTCTCTGGGCAACCTGTCCCAGTGCCTCACCACCCTCTCCGGGAAGAATTTCTTCCTGATATCTAATCTAAACCTCCCCGCTTTCAGTTTAAACCTGTTACCCCTTGTCCTGTCACTACAGGCCCTTGTAAAAAGCGCCCACCCAGCACCCTTGTAGCCCCCTCAGGGACTGAAGGCTGCAATAAGGTCTCCCTGGAGCCTTCTCTTCTCCAGGCTGAACAAGCCCAATTCTCGCAGCCTTTCATCAAAGGAGAGGTGCTCCAGCCCTCTGAGCATCTCAGATATACAGCTCAGCGTGTCCCTGCCTCAAGGTCTCAGTCTGGATGAGGCTTTGGGCAAAGTGACTGCAGGAATGGAAGCTGTTCTTCCTGTTTCCACCACTGCACAGCAGCTGATGGACACCTTTACGCAACCATATTTCCTTCCAGCACCTGACAAGGGACTTGCCATCCATTTCTCTCAATTTCCCCATCTCCTCACCCTGGGGAACAGCCCTCTCCACAGCTCTAGGGGTGACCAAACCCAAGCAAGAAGCTCTGGAACTACATCCCAGCTGGGTGGAGGGGTTCTAATGTGCACTTAGCGTGGCCCACCACTGTGGGCTGACAGTCCAGTTTATCTACCTGGTGGGTCCCACACCTTCAGGATCTCCCCCATACTCACTCTGCATCACTGTGTCACTTGTGTAGAGTTCTCCACCCCCTCTCACTCGTCGGAAACGGGGTATCTTGCCATTCTGCTGGCTCTTCTTGATGGTGGAGTAGATGTCATGACCTGTGGGATAGGAAGGCTCATTTGCAGCAGCCTGTTTCCAGAGGGGGCAGAAGGGTTTGTGAGAAGAGAACAAAGAACCAGGAACTCTCTGGGCACCAGGACTCACAGAGATGATGGATATAGCTCAACAAACCCAGTCCTCACTGCCTAGGACTGAGCAGCCCTGGCGGGGCTCCCCCAGTCCTTTTCCTTAAGGATTGGCAGGGACAAATTCTTGCTCTGCCTCTGTGAGGGATGCCCATCTCTCCCTCCACCACACCCAGAGCAGTGGAGCTACTGCAGGATCTTCCTTCCCTACTGCTTCCATTGCATTTTACCCTCCACACAGAAACTCAACCCCCATACCCTGGACAGGATTAAACCACCTTGTGCCACGCAAGGATGTGCACTTCAATGAGGCAAAAGCAGGAAGTGCTAAGGCCAATCCCCAGCTAGAGCAGACAAAGCCCTTGGAGCAGCCTCAAGGTGACTCCCTCTTTTTGTTACAGAAATCCCAGCCTTCCTGCACAACACTGTGACTGAAAACACGTGAGCGGTCAGACTTACCGTCAACAACAACGAGGGTATTCGAGTCAGGGGTGAAAGGAGCAATACCTCTCCCGTCCCACGGAGCACTCGCCTTCCTCTGCATCTGGGGAAGGACAGAAACAACCCCTAAGTGTGATCCGTTCAGAGAAGGCAGGGGAGCCAGGTGCTCACATCCACCCCTGGGGCAGGAGGAAAGCAGCTCTCCTTGGTGGGCACAGCCCAAATGAGGGAAGGATGTGGCCCACCTTCGGACAGGCCAGGCAGAGCCACTGCTGCAGGTAGGAGACGAGGAGAGGGAGGCTGTGACAACTGAGCATGGAGGTGGCACATGCAGACCTCTGCTCATGCAGGCTGTTCTGAAAAGCTCCTCAAAGGAGTTGACATTTGGGCATTTCAGAGCACGCTGAGAAGGGTGGGGAATCGGCACCATTTTACAGGTGGAGACAGGATGAAACAGCAAGTGCCTGCCCTTGTACCATCACAGGAGGCCACAGCATACCAAGTTCCAGCAAGTAGGAGCACAAGCGCCGGTCCCACACACTAACATCCCGTCTCCATACTTCTCCACTAACGTGAGGTAATTTTTATTGTCCTCCTGCAAAAGAGAGAAGAGGAGCATGAGGATCTGTGAAAGGCAGAGCACAGCCCCAAGCTACAGCACTACCGAGCACAAGGCTATATGGCTTCCTAGCTTTTTCATGGGTCCTAAAACCAGAAGAGGAAACTGATCTGATCTCATCTGACCTCGGAGCACATAAGGAGCATACACAGTTCCTTCCCCAGAAGTTCTCCAACCCTCACCCATCCAGCTGTTGTACATGCTGTTCCACCACAGGAAGGACCTACCAAACTCTCAGGCATCAGGCACTGTCCTTCATTTTTCACTGGGAAGTCTTCCTAGGATAAAAGAAATACATAGGCTTTAATTCCTTCCCTCTAAAAGCCAAGTGCCATGGGCTCAGTCCCATGCACTACATGCTAGTCACTCTCTCCACAAGAAACACAGCAAGTAGGTCAGCGAGTAGGTCATTAAACACTGCAACACAGCCCTTTTCCCCACCTCAGCATCTGAAAACCCTTGAGGAGACTAGCCAGGATCTCTCATATCCTTGAGGTGATGGGGAGAAGTGGGGATGCAGGACCAACGTGGCAGGTATGACTGGCAGCCAGCCTGGGCTGCTCTCCAAAGGATTTTGGGAGGGAATCTATTATTGAGAATGAGTGTTCAATAGTGGGTGGTAGTGCTCAAGGGTTGGGACCTAAGAACCACACTGTTCCTGGGAACAAGGAGGGAAGTATCTGGATGCAAACTTCAGCAACTGACTTGTTTTGAGAAGGACAAGAAGGGGTCATGAGAAAGCCTAGTGGGGGGTTTTCCTGCTGTATTAACTCAGTACCCAGCTGATCTAGAACTTCCTACGTTTGAGGAAAAGCAGCCTGGGCCTTGACAATGGAAAGCGATGGGAACACAGCTTCTTCCCAGTGACATAGGTCTGAGCATCCCCTTCTCACGCTAAAGAAAGGGTCCCTCACTGGAAAAATTCTTCCTCTGGGGCTGCAAAGACCTCAGGAGGATCACAGGAACAACCCACCCACGGCTAACGTAGGAGACTCCCCCCTTGCTGCAGCCATTCATTGTACTGACATTGCAGCTTCCCGGATGGATGAGGCAGGCTGGGCAGAGACCAGACCCTTCCAGGACTGACTTTGCTGCTGGCAAAGACACTGAGCCAAGGTATCTAGCGTTTGGGCTGTGAGACAGAGGCTGGACACTTTCTTAGAGGGCACCGGGGTCAAACGTATTAGCAAAGCATCCTTACTGTGTAGTTCTCATTGGTTGCAAAGTCGTAGTAATAAAGCTTTCCCTCTCCCCCGATGTAGATGGCTGAGCTGTTTTCTTTATGGTAGAAGACCGGGTACTTCTCGCTCCTGGGAAACGCAAACTCTTTCACACCTAGGAACATCATGGAGGAGACACTTGTCAGGGGAATCGCGGCCGACTGCAGAGAGAACCTGCAGCCAGCTTGGGCTGATCAACTCCCTTTCTCTGTCCTCGGTGCCAGTGATGAGAAAAACAAGGACAGGGGGCTGGGGGCCCTCTGGGATGGCTGGCCCAGCACCTGGCAGGCAGGGAAAGGCAACTCCCAGGCTCAGAGCTGAGCTATTGTCCCCGTGGCCCCAGGGGACAGGAGAGCTGCACAATGGGGCGGCCTGCTTGGCCCCTGCTTGGTCCGGTGATGGAGGAAGAGGAGGAAAGGAAACTTGGCTGCCGGAGCTCTTGGGGGGAGCAGAAGCTCAAAGTGACTTAAAACTGGCTCCGCAGAAGCCAAGTGAGTGCTGCCTTCCCACGGCTGAGTGCCTCCTGCCTCACAGCTCTGAGGTGAAGGGCTCCCTCCCCTCTCTGGCCATCCTGTGCTCCAGGCAATGGCCTCGTAGATTTGGCTCCTGCACCCTGTTGCATTTGTCATGCCTGCTGCTTTCTGTGCCCTGCTCTGAGACCATGTACATGCTTAACTGGAGTTGTAACTTCTCATCCAGCTGCATGGGAGAGGAGCTGCTGCGCTGTCTTGCAGCTGGGGGGTCAACCTCCCTGCGCCCACAGGGTAGATCACCTCCTGCCAGGCACAGCCCAGCATCACACCTCTCCTCCCGCAGCATCCTCCCTCCCAGGGCCAGCAGGAACAGGGTTTGGAGCCCCAGGCCAGAGCCCACACGTGACAGGGGAAGGGTGCAGGTAAGCGCTGCAACTCATGGGCTCCACACCCCAGACATGAACAAGAAATGAGCTGCAAGACCTAGGGCCCATGTCACAACCACTTGCCACAGATGGGAAGGCCCAGCTGGGAGGAAGAATTGCCTGTCCTCCTCTCCTTCCTTCCTCTTTCACCTTCTGATTTTTCCAGCTCCTCTTTCCTAGCAACATCCTCCCTTCCTGTCCACGTTGCCTGCTCAGGTATGGGTGGCTGGTTGCAAGCCTCCTCCCCTGGGGCTTTTGCTGTCCCTCCATGGGGTCCGCTGCTCCTGCATCCCCTCTGGGGTGGTGCTCCACGGCACACGACATGGCACACGACATGGCACGCGTGCATTGCCATCGGCTACCCTGTCCCCTGCCGTGGTTTGCAGCAATGACAGGAGAGGGATTGCTCCTCCAAAGGGGAAAAGTCTCCGACCAGGACGGACCTCTGCTTACTGCAATAGGGCACTCTGTTTTCATCTCTCCCTCTTCTCCCTTTTCCAAAGAGGGGGCCTCTCTCCTGCACGGTGCTGCTGCTCCCAGCAGACAGACAAAGGCTGCGTCTGCCTCGGGAGCTGGCTGCCTGCACAGACAGGCAATTAATCAGCGGCACGTGTCCCTCCCTATTTATAGGGGCACTCGGCAGGACAGGCAAAGGACAATCTTTGCACAGCCCAGCGCTCTCCCTCTGCCCGGAGCACACCACACGCGGGTCCCACCAAGGCTCTGCAGAGCCGAAAGTAAAAGAAGACAACTTAGAGGTCACTGGGGTTACCGAATGCCTGCTTGATTTGTGGTTTTCTCCAGCTCAGTACGTGGGTTGCACCTCCTCGGGGTCTACAAACCCTGTGGGGTTAAAAAGCACCCAGCCAGCAAGGCTCTCCCCCCACCGGCTTGGCTAATGGGGGGCTGTTTCACAAGGGCACCCCGGCCACAGAGGACCAAGCTGGAGGTGTCCCTGGCACAGAAACCATCGCTGCCCTCCAGACTGCAGCTTCTCCCTGAGGCAGCACCTCCGGGCTGCCCTTCCCCTGCGCTGTGGGACAGAGGCCACGAGGCTGCATGGCTGGGGGGGGGTGTATTTGGCAGTCGGGACCCGGCAGCTAGGAAAGCCTGGTTGGATGGCAGTCCCTGCCTGTTCCCTGTCCCTCCCCAGCCCTGTTGTCTCTCCTCTGTCCAAGGACATGGAGAAACTCCAGAGCATGTGCTTTACCTGCTGGAGAAGCTGGCTGTGAGTCTTTGCGGAGTGACTGTGCAATTCCTTTGCCTCAGTGGTCCTACAAGCAAGATGCCAGGCAGGCGTGCCAGCTAGCCCAGGCAGCTCATCCATCACAGAGGTAGCCCAAGCGTGCCAGGGGGACAGGGCTCATCCTACGCACACAACAGCCCCTGAAGCTCTTCTCCCCCCACCACCGCCAGCACAACCCATCACCAACATGCTGCAAGGAGGTCTGGCTGGACTTCAGCAAACTTTGTTTTCAAAACTCCAGCCTGGCCCCTAAATGTACTGCTAATCCAGGAACGCACACCACCACAGCCATTCCGCACTCCTCCACCTCACCCTTCTGCACACTCCGGCCCTATGTGACCCTATTACGTTCAGTTTGGTTTTAAGGCTTTTCCACACCACTTCTTGAGCTCAGCTCTGAAAGTCGGGCCAGCCTGCAAAGCACACACTTCTCTCCAAACGGCCAAAACCAAACAAGCCCAAAACAATAATTTACTTGGAGCCAACATATTATTTATCCTACTGCTCCCCCGGGGACTGCAGTGAATCACTAAGCTGAGTGTAAACAGCTCTGCTAACAAGGGCCCAGAAGTGTGTCTGCGGCTGATTTAACTTGATCTGGAAGGGAGCCTTTTAAAGATGTTTCCGTGAGCGGGTGCTGGGGTCCCTCTGTCTCCACAACAGCCCTCTGGCTGACTTGCAAAGCTGGCCTTCAGCCCCTGCTCTGCCTTAAAAAGCTCAGCTTAGGTAAGCAGTTTGATCCCCTTCACCTCTGCTTCTCATCTGGCAGGACTGCAGGGGAGCTGCCCCACACCCCCAGACCAGGAGCCTGGGGTATCAGTGGCTTCGAGAGGAAGGGATGACGAGGCAGAGGGCATCTAACGGCCCATGCTATGTCTCCAAAGAAGGCGACATGCCTCTCCTAGCAAGTCCAAGGCTGCTTTTGACACGGCAAAGAAAGGCTCAACCCCCTGGAACGGGGAAGGCACGACCCCACCACCACCCTTCCCTCCAGACTAGCTCAGAAGACACAGGGCTGATTTCCAGAGCCTCGCTAACCCCACCAGTGCCTTTGCCTGGCATTTACTGCAGACCCCACCGCCAGCACGCAAATCAATGGCACGATTGTCAATTGAAATGCTAACCCCGGTCCGGAGGAATGAATGGGAGAAAGAGCGGCTTTGTGCACTGCAGGCGAGATGGAGACTACCACACCAGACTGGAGCAGAATAACATTAAATGAGGGAGAAGGAGGGAGCCCAGTGCATCTCAGAAGGATGCCTGCGGGGTGAGGTAACAGAGGAGAAGGGAAATGATGAGGGAGATGTTCTGGATGAGATGAGGGCAGGGAGGACCATCCTAAACACAGAGAGCAACACAGATAACAGACAGAGCAATCCTGCTTCCAGTCTGATAGGGTGAAATGGGCCTGCCTCCCCAGACACAGCTTTAATGACGCCCTGAAGGGTGCTCTGGCTCCCTTTGAGTCCAAGAGCATGTTCAGAAAGGCAACAAGAGCCTGGGCAGAGCTTGCGTCTCCCCAGCACCATGGCAAGGTGGGCTCCCAGACCAACCCAGAGCACTGTGCACTGGGAGAGTGTGCCCCCCACCTCCAGAACAGATGTCCAACTAGAGAAGCAGCGTGGGCATGCAGCCTCATTGCAGGCAAACTCACAACCCAGCTCTCATCTCAGCTGGGGGGCTGACTCAGCTGTGGCAGTCCTTCTCCCCTCCACACTCCACCATTCCTTGGTCTGACAGCATCCAGCATCCCAGACACTCATCTTAGTCACTGTCTTGCATGGCTCCCAGAGTCTTTGCAGGTCTACGATTCACTGACTATACCTCCCTAAAATGGAGAGAAGGAATGGTTTGAATCGAGTGCCAGCATTTTAAAATAAGGAACTGGAATAAAGCGTGAGAAAAAAATGAAGGACAAGATAAGAACCTGCTGCTTCGAGAGCAGCGCTGATGCAGATCCTTTATTTGCTGCTCATAAAACCCTTGTTAAGTGGGACCCTCCTTGGAATACGAAGAAAGGAAACGAGGCAGGGTATGGGGTTCACCTGCTCCACACCATAGGGCCTGTGCTGCCCTAAGCAGGGGAAGTTAGCTAAGATGCCTATGCCCTCCCAACTGTCTTGCTGCTGCCATACGATGGGGACACCAGGCTGGGCCACCTGCCAAATAGCAAAATGGGATTTAAACTGGTGCAGCGCCGAAGCTCGCCACTGCGGCAAACGCAGCCAAGCCTCCAGCACCGCCGTGTTCCCCAACGCCCAGGCAATCCCTCTGTTAGCCCCGGGAACTCTTCTCGCTGCAACACGTTATAACGCTGTCACTCATCACCATCACGTGTCCTACCCTCCCTGGCACGCCGCCCATGACACTGCCACCTGCTCTGCTGCCTGTTGGTCTGACAGCGAGCACACTCCTGCCTGAATCATGGCACTGGCTGGATTCTTTCCTGGTTCCCTCCTTCCTCAAACAATTTCTCATTTCCGAGGTTCCTTCCTTTTTGAATAGACAGAACGGATTATGACCTTGATAGCAGCATGTCTCTGCTGCAATCCAGCTGGGATTGGCTCTGACGGCAGAAGGAAAAGCTGCCTTCTCAATGCTGACTCAAGGATTGGCAACACCGGATGGGGGGTCCCCTGGGTGTTGTCCTCTACACCTGTGCCGGGAGCCCTCATCTCCCAGCAATGCGAGCCCGGCTGTGAGTCAGGGCTGACTGTGCTCCCAGGTCCTGCATATCACCCTCCTTTTGGAAAGATGAGAGCCGTCTCGACTCGATGACATCGATCTCTCTTCTGCTCCCATTTCCCCAGTGCACACAGGATGCATGACAAGCAGCCCAGCATGTGCAGATTGGCTGCTTTCTTTAAGCACTGGGAATGTGATTCAGATCCGCTGCCTTAGTCACCCACTTTCAGGTCACGACTCCTGGCCCCAGCTCTGGCATCACTCTGCAGTGCAGTTCCACCTTCAC